TAGTTTCAGCACTTAGAAATAAATGAATTAGAAGGTAGAGCTTATACACTGTTTAATCCTTTCCTTTTACTGGACTCAAAATCCTTCTTTCCCTTTCACACCACAGGGAGATACAGGCTGTGTTTCCATGTGTTATAGAATTGGCCAAATACATTCAGGAGTTTAGCTTTGTTCTGCCATTTATCACTAGAGGCTGGACTGATCCTAGGCCTCATCTGGGGAGGGGAGTCCCATATTCTTCTTCTCAGACTAGTTTGTGCTAGGGCTGTTCTCCATGAATTTTCAGTCCAGGGGCACTGTTGCATTGAAGGGACTAAAATATCTGGGCTTGATGAGTCTCTCTTTTTAAAGGCTATTACACATGCACACAGATGGCAAGGAAAGAATGGCAGGGGAGCCGGAACTAGAGAGTTTCAGCAGAAAGAGGATACCAGAGTGCATTGCAGGCAGCCTGCTATGATAGTGAGAACACCTCAGCTCCTGGAGAGAGCTTCTCAAGTGCAAAAGGAAAGCCCCTAACACCAATGCTCTTTTATTCCTGATACATGATTCTTAGAGACAGGGGCTGGCCCACTGGAAGGCCAAACTCCCTGTTTAGGAGATTCAGAGATGAGAAGGGAGAAGGTCTTAGAAGTGATGGTATGAGACAAAGTGATATATGGTAGAGGAGATAGAGAGGAGGAAAAGCAGAGCAGGTATTTCTCAGCTTCACTGCTTCAATCTTTTCCCCTCTTGATTCTTCTTCATTAAATGTGAGACCCTTTGTGACAAATAGCTTTTTCTTTAACTTTTCTGTTAAATAATTATTGTGATTGCTTGGCTGTTTTGTCCTCTTCACTGTGCTCACCTCATGGAGAGTACAGAGTTCTTGAAAACATCACCACAGGGTAGAAATGGCTACTCTTATCTTTGGGACTGCTTGGATCAAGCTCTGCATTGCCCTGTACAGAGGCTTTTCCCTACTCAAGGTACAGGTGCTTTCCAGTAGCCAGTGGTGCAGAGTGCAGTTGTAGGAGAACGGCACAAAGGAAAGGAATCTTTTAACCTGAGCTGTGAAGAAACAGCCTGTGCTCATGATATCCCTGTCCTGGGTTGTCTTCCCTAACTCTTTCCCATCCTAGTCAGACAGCAGTAGGCATCTCCAAGCATTCCTTTGGCTATTTTTGCTGACAGACTAAATCAACAGCCCCCATCTTTCCAATCTGGACCTGAGGGACTGGCACTGCCACCCCTGGAGCTGTTGTCATGAGCAAACAATGGTCCAAAGAAGCTGCTTTTGCTCCCAGAGGGGTTCAGCTGTCCCTGGACCCTGTTGTCACCAGGTGGCACCCAGCAGTGTAGGTGGTAAGAACTGTTAGGACCACTTCATAATGCTCATCGTCTTCATTCCCCTTCTAAACTGGAAAGTGACCCTGGGCTGCGTGGGATTTTGTTGATCCAGTACACCTGGATACAGGGAGCTGAACACCCCATGTGCTGTGCCAAATGCAATATCAGCTTGATGACATCATCCCTTTTCTGGTGATCGTGGGTGTGCACCCTCAGCTTTCAAGTGTCATTCAGTCCTACATGCTACTCTTCTTTCTTGGGAAGGAAATTTTTCCTATCATATCACCTCTTGGTCAGCTGGTCATAGTTATGGTTTAGTAAAGTCTTAAATTAAGTTAAATTAAGCTAAACTTTACTTATGTGCTGTCAGGTTGTCAGTTTGATTTCCTAAATAATGAGAACCTTGTGATTCTCTTCTCTCTACCCTATTTATCAGCTGCCTTCCCTAATAAGTTTTCTAGCTATTGGCCCTTTTCAACCAAATTTTCCAGAGTCAGTGATCTCAAACATAATAAAGCTATTGCAAATTTTGTGAAGAGCAAAGACTTGGAAGGGGAAAGGCTGAAGTGCTCTGAAAGAAGGAAATGTTTCTACATGAACTCAACCCCCATGGAATTTCAAAGGACCCAGTTAAGAGAGAGCCTCACATGCTCTTCACTCCTGGGAGAGGCCCCAGTCAGAACTTGTTACTGATGAGGTACACATTTCAAGGAAGCCATGGTGGATCTCTCTTGCTCTTTTCTTTGGTGTCTAAGGTAATTCTTCATGTCTTTCATCTTTGGAATTGTACATTTCTTACAAGGCACATGTGAGAGAAGCAGAAAGATTGGACTATTTGTGGTTTCTTCTGGACATAAATTCATTAAGTCCATGTGCCCACCCATGCATGTCCATGAGACAATCTGATGTAACAACCCTTAACCACCAGCTCAGACATTTGCTTTGCTCTTAACCTGCCTGTGTATTGGATAAAGGCTCACTTTTTTTCCTAAGGATGGAGACCGATGACATTGCGCGGAAGGGGGCTAAAGACACAATGTATTGCCAGGCTGTGAAAGCAGCATGTCTCAATGTGAAACAGCAGGAAAATTTTCAGAAAATTAAGATGGAAAAACATGAGGTGCTCTAGAAAGGAGCATTTTATCACAGGCAGCACCCTGTGCTAGGAATCTCCCAAGCCAGCTGGCAGGGAACAGTCAGGGCTGGAGTATTTAATTTCTAGATACCTCATTTCAGGTGTGAAGGACCTTCAGCACTCAAGGTCCTGATCCCTCTACTGAAATTAGATATGTAAACCTTCCTGAGTGAACTTTTCTCAGGTTTGGCTGGAAGGAGAGCCCTGTCACTGCTCCTGTACCTGCAGAGCAGCTCACTACTCTAAGACTTGCTCAAATTACTAGAGAACTGGATTCAGCTGCTGACTGCTTCCAGGAATACTGATCCCAGGCAGTTCACCTCACAGGCAAACATCTCTGTCAAGGAGCCACTGCAGACATTTCTTTCCTTCTCCCTGTGCTGGTGAACATGCAGTGAAGTCCAGCAGCTGAATGAGCTCTGTCAGGGAAAATTAAGAGTGACCCTCTATGGCACAACACATTATGGCTTGAACTGAGGGAGTTGAATGCTCTCACTAGAAGGAGCAGATTACAACCTGGCTTGCCCACTCCTTTCATGAGTGCTCCCATGGTTTATTTAGTACAGAAATTTGGAACAGTAGCACCATGCTGGCCTGTGTCCTATGAGAATAGGACATATCTTCTCTGTTGCATTCTGAGACCCTCTCCCCTTCTGATTCCCTCTGGGTGACAGAAGCAAAAAAGTGCTCAGTCTGCAGATTTCTCTGGCACTTGGGTTGTCAGATTGCTACTGCTGCAGTTCCCAGTCCAGGGGAAGGACTGTTCTGAAATTGTGATACATGCACTGAATCAGCACTGCAAGTGCTTTGGAAATTTTGAGGTCAAAGCCACAAGTGCCAGTTGATGTGTGGCACCATTAGCTGGAAGCTGAGCACTAGGGGACTGAGGCACTACTTATGTAAAGTCTGCTGCAGCTCTAACCCTCAGTCTTTTGCCCAAGGTCACATAAGAAGTCCATAGCAGACAGCAATTTGGAAACCAAATAAATCACCAGAATCCTAAGCTAGTGTACTCACATCTGAATCCAATCCTGAAAAATAAAAGCTTAAAGCCAGATTGCATTGCAGTTGTTGCACCCTTCATATGGGTCATTGTTAGCATGGGTACTGGTGTCATGAGGACTCAAACTGATGGTAGACATCCAGCTATAGAGTCGTGGAAATATAGAATGGCCTGTCTGGAAGGAATCTTAAAGATAATCTAGTTCCAAGCCACTGCCATGGACAGGGAAACCTTCCACTATGCCAGGTTGCCCAGTACTCCATTCAACGTGGCCTTGAACATTTCCAGGGATGGGACTTGCTTCTGTCAGGTTTCTATAAATATGTATCTAGTAACTATAACAAGCAAAAAATAGCTATCCTATTAAACAACAATGTGATTATACTACCAACAACACTAATTTCAGATGGAGTTCAAGCATTACTTAATTTTCTTTTCTAACATTCTTTCAAATGTTATTTGATCACTCACCTGCATACAGTAACCACTGCCTGACAGGTAAGTAAAATCTGGTTAGTTTTTGGATCTTTTTTTTTGGCAGTCAACAGGCTTGTTGAGGAGGTCAGCAGACCTTGAACTTGACAGTGGACTTTTTTTGGGTCCTAGCCCTCAGCAAGCATATTTTCTTATTCACATTTCCTACACTCTCAGGGGTGCAATGCATTTTCTCTCTGTATCTGATAAATAAAGCTAAAGTGTTTCTTCTGCAATTCTAAATTCACTTTCTTTTCAAATGTATCTTTTAGTTAAGAGCGAATATTTGCAAGCCCCTGGTAAAAAACATGCACCTAACAATCGAGGCTTGCAGCTGTATGATTCCCTAGATTACAGCTACACTATAAGAAAGAATGCTACAAATCTAAATTGTGACTTTTACCATGATTTATTTTACTGAGGATTAATGAATCATTAGTTCACGAAAGAATTAACAACACTCTTCTTCCAGCACAGGAGTGAATGGTTGCATTAACAAGCAGCTATAGACTAATTCAAAGCAGGCAACCAAGTGTCAGAAAAGCAAAAAGGGATTTAACGCTGCACCAACAGAGAGCTTTTGAGATGGGGACCTAGGACACCCGTTTGCTGCACAGCTTGATAAGGTTTCTTGGCTGACTGCTCCTAGTGGGATAAAAAATGGGACTTGGTCCAGAATACAAGTGGGATACTGGCTTGCACAGAATGAGAAAGGATCAAAAAATTTCAAGTTATGGACTCAGGTGCTGAGATTTGGGAAAGGTCAGACGAGCTGAGCTCATGTTTCTGAGGTTCACAAGGTTACTTGAAATTGCCTGAGTTTCTGACAGACAATTCAGAAAAACTATTTCTCGGCAAACTGAGAAGAGCACAAAAGAGGCTTTTTCCTGGTCTTTGCAGAATTCAGGAAGGGGCTAACTGAAATCCAACTAAAGAAACTTTTGGATGCCCAACCTCCCCTGCATGAGACCATTTGAGTCTCCTGTCTTGCAGCTCCTCTCCATGACTCTAAGCAGTGCTGTGGCACTGACCCCGATGGGGACATGCAGCGGCACTTACCTCCAGGACCATCTCTGTCATCTGGAACTGCTTCTGGGAGACCTTGTCAGAGCTCACAGGCTCATGGAAGAGCAGGCAGAGCATGTCATACTTCTTCAGTGCCTGCTTGTAATTCTTCTCATTCAGGTCGATCACTCGGTCTTTCCCATCATAAGTAGGGAAGTTCAGTCCTTCTTCTGCCTTGCAGCAGAAAAGCAGGTAAAAACCTGCCAGGATCCAGCAAATTGCCTTCATAGGGGCACCCTTGGAGTGCAGCAAAGGGTGGGTAAATGTGCCCCTCTCTCTTAATTTGAGAAGAGAGGGAGACCAAAGACTCCAGGTGAAGTTTGAACTAAGTTTCTCTGAGTTTCTATCTGCTGCTTTCCTAGTGTTGAGCCCAAACACTGCAAGGCTGGTGACGAGCAGCAAACTTTGCTGTCCTGTACTCACAACAAAGAGAGAGACAGACGGGAGAAGCTGTCAGGCCAAGCCCTGGATACCTTACATAGCTGTGTCCAGCTCCCGTGTCATTAGGAACTCCATTTTTAGGAAGCAGTTGTTTCAGGCTAAAAATAAACCCTGCAATGAATAAAAAGGACAGATATGACACCATTGAGGGACTTGCTGGCACTCTGCATCATCTGAGAGAGAGGGAGTGGGCAAGAGGGAGGGAGTGGAAGATGTGAGTCCTGGGAATATGCAGGCAGGGTTTGAAAAGGGACAGACTTCTCTTGTACAGGGAACCAAGGCACAGGCTGTCCTACTAGGAATTGACAAAAATAGAAGGTATTTACTGCAATTTATAATAAGGGTATCTCTCTTTACATCCCGTTGGGCATCACAGTGATTAGGCTTTTGATAACAGATCTCAGGTTAAACAGTCTCAGAGCCTCATCTGCACCACTAGATGAAATGTCCTGTTTCCTCATCAGAAAAGGACGTGAATACTCCTGGGACTTCTTCCTCCTGCCTGGAGCACCATTTGGAGCTGCTAGCTGACATTCAAGGTGCTTTCTGAAGCACATTCTCTGCTTGTGAGGCAGCAGGAGAATTGCTGGCCCTTAGACCTGTAATCCAAAAGCAGAGGGAAGCTTATGTTGCAGCCTCCCATTTTCACAGCAGTTCCCAAGCTGCATACATTGCTGGTAAGTGGTTGAACCTTACCATGCTAAGGGGGCTGACAGGTGGGAGGCATGTACCCAGGCCAGTGCCTTGGGGCAGGAGGCAGGGCTCTCCTCAAGAGGATGGTGAGATGGCACCATAACCTCCAGCCATCCTTTCTGGCACCTGCCTGTTGGACTGGAGCAGGTTTTTCACAAAACCCTTTTGCATTTTCCAGCAAGCTGTCCTGCATATTCCTCCTTCTTCATATTGCAGGGATGGTGGCCAGGTCCTCCCTCTCTGGGACCCCAGCACCAGCTGCTGCTTTGCTGTATCACCTGCACAGTGCTGCTGAGGGAGAGAGGTTCAGAGGCACAGTCCCTCAGCTCTTCCTGTCCTCTGACCACGGTGTCACCTCTGACCCATGACTGGCAGCAACAGGCAGGTGGAGGCAGGCCAGCTGGCCACAGGCCAGCCCCAGGGCTGGCATGGATCCACTGGAAAAGGCCTGCTGAGGGGCTGGAAGAGAAGAGCTTGACAGGGGGCATGGCTCTCTTCTCCCTGCCAAAGTGATGTGCAGACAAGTGGCCTTATCAGGTCTTTTCCTTGCATGCTGCTCCATCACAGCTTTGCTTCATCCACATCAGGGAAGAGACAGTATCTCTTCTTAATGCAGTTGTGTCCATTTAATTGTGTGTCTGGGATTATTTCAACATTTGGGGCAAAAGGTGAACATTACTTAGCAATTACAGAATCATAGACTCATTTGTGTTGTAAAAGACTCTTAATATCATTGAGTCCAGCCATTAATTAAACACTGCCAAGTACACCACTAAACCATGTCCCTAAGCATCACATCTACATGTCTTTTAAATACTCCCAGGGATGGTGACTAGAACACTTTCCTGGGCAGCTTAAACACATCTCCTGGGTGACTTAAGAGCACACATCCTTTCACTTCTATGTCAGCTTTCACTACCCACCTGAACAGCCAACAACATACTGACTGAAACCCTCTTGGTAATAGTTTCCAAATCTGTCTTATTTCCAAAGCTTTTTCAGAAGTTGAACATTTGCTGGCAAATTGAAGTCCTAATGACAAAGCCTGAGGAACCTGGGTAAAAGCCAAAGCAAGACAGCCTTCAAAATATACCTCTTAGAGGCCGCCTTCAGGGGCAGTCATTTTTAGAGGGAGAAGTAAGTCTGAATAAGTCTGATTGCTTTTAGTGGGAGACACAAGACTTGTGTCACAGTGGGTGGCAATTGCTGGTTAGGTTTATGCTGAGTGTTTAGGATGTAAAATACAAAACCAAGCTTGTGGGATGATCAGGCATACATTAGGCTGGTTGCTTGCCTTTGAAGGACCCCCATGGATCTGGGGTGCAGGAGCAGGCTTCACTGGTGTCACAATTTGTTTTAAAGCAGGAGCACATTAGACAGGGTGTGAAAATGAAACGTTTGCAGCTACTTCAAATATTGGTTTATGAGGCTTCTGACCTCCTTTATTCTTTTAGATCTTCAGCAATTGCTCCACTTTGATATTTCTCAAGCTATTTTTATGTGCTTTTTTTTTTCTAGTCTGAATAACTTTTTAATCTGCCTAAAAATAGATATAATCCAATTTTCATTTTCTCCTCTTTTTTTTTCTGTCAAAAAAAGGAACAAAAATGCTTCTTATTCACAAAAATTGTTGCTTTGTTAGCCCCACATGAATCTCGTTTATAGGCTTGTGGCATGAGTAGCAAATATTTTTGATTGTTAGGCTTCACCTCTGCATCAAAGGGAACTCTTCCAACAGACCAACCCTGGGTGTCATGGTCACCAGAGAGCCCATCTCTTTGTGTCTCCACTCAGGACCTCAGTGGGGCTGCTAGGGCTAAATCTAGTGGACATTTTCTGTGGTCTTCTAGCTCTAGCTGCATCTATATGAAGTTCAAGATACCTTGTTCACCAAGGCAGAAGTAATGGTGAATTCCTCAATGGTGAACTGCCTCGATCACCTGAAATTCTTAATTTTAATAAACTTCAGTCAAAGCAGATGTTCTCCTTGCAGCCCTGCCAATACAGACCTAAAATCCCGGATTCATGTTCAGAACAGCAGTTAAATACTTGAATCTGAGAAGAGTTGCTTTGTTTTTTTCCCTGGGGAATAGCAGAGCTGAGACTGAAGCAGATGTTCCCACAACCTGACAAAGGCCATATGTATTGTGCCTTTCTCTTCATCATCTCTCTTGGTGCTAACAGCAGCACACTGCAATGTGCTCATCTCAACCCCAGAAGCAAAACTCCTTGGAATTTCAAGTGTGTCCATTCACTCTCAGATAATGTTTTAAATTTGGAATTTTGGGCCAGGCTCACAAAAAGTACAGTGTGCAGACCCCATGCATTTGGGGAATCTGAGTTTTGTTGAAGGCCCACTTCAACAGTACACTGGTATAAGTTTCCTCTGTGTGTCAAATCCTCTTTCATACGGTAAGAGCAGTAGAAGTTCTCCAAGGGAGGGAAGAATGAGAGGAACAAAGAAATTTCACAGGCTTCTCTGGAAACTTCAGATTTTGCACTCCTCTGTTCACTGCAAATACTTTTTGCTATCTACCTGTATAGTCTAGTGTCTTCCTGATCCCATTTAACTGCCTGTGGTTTCAACACATGTATTTCTGTGGGCAGTGTCACACGAGGGAACGATATGGTGTGAACTAAATCCTGGAACACTTGCCTTTCAGCTCAGGTATCTCATTTCCTGGCATAGCTGGCATCTGTTAGTCTCTGATACACGCTGACTGCAAGGTTCAACCTCCCAGCTCTGATTACTTAACCATTGAGTCCTTCATCCATTGTGTTGCTGCATCTCTTAGCCCTGCCTCAAGAAACCAGTACAATACTTTCCCCCAAATAACTGTCCCAGAGATGTTTCCCTGAAAGCTTGATGAGGAATGAGCTGGTAGGGCTTAATACCTGTCCACTCTGACAGGTGCTCGTGTTGTTCAAACAACCTTTAGAACTGGTCCAAAACTTGAGGCAAAGAGACAATTAAGAGGAAACGCTGTTGGTTTATTCACTACTGTCGGCTTTCTGGGTTCATCCATCAAGCAAAATCCTAGCTCCAGGGATTTAGGTTGCAAAACCACCCTTGACATTCATTGAAGTAGGATTTTACTTTATTTCTTCCAATTTTGTGAGGATAGATAGTCAGTAACAGAGCTCAAAACAGTACAACCTCATCCCTTCAATTCAGGCTTGCAGAAATGCAGGGTGAGGACGTAGGATAAATAAAAATCTCCTTCTTCTTGATATTTTTTTCCTACTTTTTTTCCTACTTCCTTCCTATAAATTAGGGATATATGCTTGCTGTTCCTCCCTCCTGGCCACTGCAGCTGCACTCCATGGTGCTGTTCTCACCTTCACTGTCCTTTCTATCTCACACAGTAAAAGATGTCCCCAGCCACTGCTGATCCAAATGCTTCAGTGAGCCTTTTTTTCAGGGTTTCAGGATTTAGGGTTCTGCTTTAGTTAATCTCTTTTCAAGCTTCTAAGACCTTGTATGTTTTGCAAGATAGGAGTATTCAGAAAATATGCCTTTTGCCACCAGTTAGCCAAGCAAGGTCATAGCTTGCACCAGGGTGGGAGGCTCAGAGGCAAGCTGAACCTTCCTGAAGAGACCAAGGGGAACAATGTCATCCTGAGAAAAGCTCTGCAGTGTAAAGAAACCTAGTTCTCTCTCACTTCCCTTTGACCCTGAAAGGTGATAAGTCCTTAATAGTACTTTACATTGCCTGTCATACCAGTGATGGCAGGCAAGTACAAGGCAAAGGAGCTGTATCATTGGCACTCCCTATTTTACCTACTACAAACTGCCGGAGATCATTATAGTACCTTGCTTATATATATAGTACTTTGACTGTGGTGTCTTGAGACCTGCTATGTGATAAGAAGATGCTATAAACCCTTTCTGACTCATGGACACTGGTTTTGGTGAGGAAAAACAAATACAGTACAGACAAAAGCACTTCTATAAAAGTCTATAGAGGGATGTAAAGGGAAGGTAAAGGAGATAATCCAGGTGTCCTAACTCATTCTCAGACACACAAGCATTTTAAAAAAATCTCGTGTTTTTTAGGCATTGTGGCTCTGTGCCACCTTAGGGGGATCATTGTACCTCTCTGCCTTTGGGACCTTGTCTGGCACCTGTGACTTGTACGTGTCAAAAAGTAATTTAGAAGGTCAAAACTGGGACGGTCCCAGAAGGACTGGGATAGTTCCCTCTTAATGGGCTAATAATCCCTACACAGGAAGAAAGGATTTAACTAAGACATCACTGTGGCCAAATGGAAATGTGCCCATTGGCATGTATGGAAATGGGAAGGGAAAGAGAAAGAAATTAATTGAAAATGAAAAGCGTTAAGAGAAATTCTGTAAGGAGACAAGGCTGCTGCTTCATGCAGAGGTCTGACAAGGGACATCTGAGGGCAACCTGTTGTGGTGGTTGGGGAACCCATCAGGTGGGCTGGAAAAGGTGGTAGATAGTTTGCAGCAGGAC